TTACAGATCATATACGTAAACCGCAACTAAATCGACTATACATTAACATAACTTTACGTTATAATAGAAGTGTAAAAACTGTGTTTTCGTTTTAAGACGCGTTATTGTCGTCATATATATTATTTTTTCAGGAATTATATATTGAAATTTGTAACAGCTCAAATATGTTAATTTAATATAAATTAAAAAAAAATATTTGTCCAGTCAGTAATAATGTTTGTTTAGTACTAATGTTTGTTTGTAGGTCTAAGAATAGGTTGTACTATATTTTTTATATCTGTATTATTGTAAACATGTACAACGTTTATTTGAAAAGCACACCGTCTTACTGATGTTGAGTTTACTCAAACATTTGTATTCATGAGTATGATTGTTTGTATCAATTTGAGTGTTTTATATTTATATTATATATATGTATTAAAAATGTATGTATGTATGTATTTATTTATTTATTACACAAATAAAGGTGCACATGTCGGACTTAACACCTCGAGGCATTTTCTCCCAGTCAACCATAGGGCAAACAGCAATTCGAGTGGGCGGTGCATTATGAATGATTTACATATAGTATTAATAATAATAATTTATGTCAGTTATCTAGTACCTATAACGCAAGCTCTGCTTAGCCTGGAACTAGATGGCACTCTGTGAATTGACCTTAAATATTAATATAATAAAATGAGATTAATCTGCGAAATTATAAACTATATGTACTTGTATACAGTCTGTGCTATCAAGTCGATGGACGTGACCCTAATTCTACAAATCTTTTATGACTTATGAATACTTTAATGAAATCTTTACGTGTTTACCTTTATAATTAATAACTCATTTATAATTCTGTACGATACTGTAATAAATTTCGTTGACCTTGTTAGTACAGTGGTTTAACGGTTTGCCTGTTTATAAAATGGTCAGAGGTTCGATATTTGCGTAATAATATGATTCGCATTGTCAAGTATGATTCTTGACTTGATTTTTATAAATGTATTAAAATTATTTGATAAGTATTGGTTATTTAATATAATAATGCAACTCGATCCTTTTCAGCCTCCTTCACACACTGATTCACTTACCTTTTTTGTTTTGTTATGTTTTATAGCTTAATAGCTACTGGGGCGGGTCCCCGGCTCGGCACAGATTATATATGTATATGTACTATGCACATAAACCTTCCTCTTGAAACACTCTATCTATTGCTAAAAACTGCAATGAATCGTTGTATAGTTTAAAAGATCTAAGCGATAATGGTCAAATTTAAAACTATTGTATCAATTAATTATTGTTCGTATTGTCCACTTTTTATTAAATTTTTGGTGTATATTTGGTAGGTCTAAGAATAGGTTGTACTATATTTTTTATCGTTAGAATATACAGAGTTGACTTGTATACTTATTTCATGTTTGTCATAGAGTCTGTAATAGATCTACATGAGTAAAGATATTTTGAATATCTCTATTAAGAGTGCCCAAAAATTATCCCAAAAAAGCTACATAGCAAAAACAACGCTTTCCAAGACTAACGGCATATTAATAAATACGGTTTTTTCTGCAAATATAGCACTTATATTAGGCTAGGTTTGTGCTTCCTTCGCACATTCATTATGGATTTGATATTATTTACTATTTAGGAAATATTCCTCTAAGTATATAAGAAACCTTAGAGGGGATAATATTACACTGTTTAGTTTCGAACTAGATGGCGTTAGTATATACAGGTTACTTATACTTATTTCATTGTCATAGAACTCTAGATACACAAAGATAATTTTAATCCTTTAATATGAGATAAGATACAAGTAAATGTAGTTTAAGAATAATTATTACATTTAATTATTGACTTAAATAATAAAAACTCTCACTATGTATTTACATATTTTCCAAATGAAGCTACCGAATATATATTTTCTCCTGGGTATAGATCAACTTAGATAATGAACAACAGAACTTTGTACAAACTTTATACATACAAAACGTGTATGTGTTATGTATATGTCACTGTATAGAAATATGGATATCTTTCACAGTGAAAGAATTTCTTAAAAATACCTCAATATTTTTTTTTACTCGTGCTATAGCAACATCTATTCTATTGCTATATAATAATAGTAGATAATATATTATATAATTATCTGGTTCTTCCTTATCCCATATATTTGAGCTCGGTGTAATATGTTTTTCTCTTCCATTCATCCCTGTTCAACATCTATTCTATATCATCACACACAGTCCATCCATCTCTTTTTCTGCCTTTCTCTCCTTATGACCATCCACATTCATATTTAATACTTTCTTTAAAATATTATTTTTATTCCTATTCAACTTATGGATATGTAATGTGACATATCCATAAGTTGAATCGTCTGTCAAGGATTTTTGAAGTTCTCCAACATTAATGCCATTTTCATACTACCTCCAACGTATTCTTTATCTTATTCGTTCTTCTCACATCACACATCCATCTCAACATTCGCATTTCGGTCGTCTTTCATTCATCGCCTTTATAAGCCAGTTCTCTAATCCATACAAAGCAGCAGGCCGGTATGTTTTCAGTCTATCTTTTTGTGTAATTAGAATAGCATGTGTATATATATAGATAATAATATATTGTAGATCGACATAAAGATAATTAAAGTATATGAACATACATCACGTCGTATGTACAGTACAACTTCTTTGACTTTGCAGAGTACTCATTTGTGCAAATATTTACTTGTATATATATTTAATTACGTCAGCTACGATAGATGGCAAAGGCATATGATATAGCGGCAACATTGTTGAATTGATCATTTTATATATTGTTACATTTAGATTGTCAATATCGTTCGTTCGCGGCTTCGGTTACCTAGTAGGTTTAGCAGAACGCCTTATTTTCGATAGTCGCGGGTTCTATTCCTCGCACAGTCCTAGTATTTGTATTCATGAGTATGATTGTTTGTATAAGTCTGGATATTTCCTATGTATGTAATTTTATATTATATATGTAAGTAATATTTATATCAGTTATCTAGTACCCATGACATGAGTTTTGCTTAGCTTGAGACTAGATGACGCTATGTCAAAGATAAGGTATAACGTTTCAAAAATTAACCTAAAATACACTAAGCAGTTAGTTTGTTTAAAGCTGTTTTCCTGCTTCAATGGAGACACGGTAATTAATGTAACAGACGACTCCGTAGTCATAGCACTTTTTTTTAATTATCGAATGTACAGTTGAGTTGCGAATGGGGACTTCATAAAATTTGGTCAAGCCCTTTGGTAGGAGTTCGATATCAAACACTATGATATAATTTTTTCATACTAATATTACTAGCGTCAGCTACTTTTAATGTCAATTAATTTTTTTTATTTTAATGATTTTAATGTCAATTAAAATAGTCTATATAAATAATAAAGTAATAAAACAGTTCCTTTGCAAAAAAGCTTACTATAAAATTGAAGAATTCGTTAACGATAATAATGTTTTTATAGAAAAACTTTAAATCTATAGCACTGACAATATTATCTGATTACATTAATAATGAGTGCGTAGCGACTTCTATGTTGATTATCGCATGCCTCTTACTTGTTATACTGTAATTATTTATATAAATAAAAATTTATTAAAAAGAGCAACACACAAGTTTCTTGCTCATTCTTCTTGTGATGAATCTGCATTCCGAATGAGTGGTAGAATCAAAATATGACTATTCAAAAGTGCTTGTAATGAGTTTATTTGAATAAAGATTATTATTTCTATTTCTAAATGGAGTCCAAATTACGTTGATGAGTTGCGTAACTCCGCCCGTACTACATTTTCGCTTTAGCAACATTTTTCATTACTGCTCCATTCCTATTGGCCATAGCGTGATGTTACATGGCTTATGACACTAACAAATAACGTGGCTTTGTGTAGAGAAAATAGTTTTTCAAATCAATTCAGTAGATCCATAGCTTACAGACAGCTTATAACCACACAAAGTTACAAAATTTAACTCTTTATATAATTAGTATATAAAGTACCGAAGACACTGCTAGTAATTTATAATTTTATGCATATAATAATTAACTATTGTCTTGCGCGTGTTGTAAAAGCAGTGAGATGTGAGATGAGATCTCAGTGAACAAGGTCAGTGCAGGTCAATGGACTACAACTAATGACTTAACATTACTTATCATTATCACTAATACTCACTCCACCATGAATTAGTGACACTCAACGAACTGTTATAGTTTCTACACTCTATATTAATAGTAGTTGTGACCGCGATTTCGTCTGTGTGGAATAATGACCTTGACCAAATAAAGATAAAATATTTAATAAAGTCACCCAAAAAAGACTAATAAAAAGTTTCATCGTTCTCGATTAAAAAATGACGACTTTTCATACAAAATTTCATCCCCTATTTTATTTTACTCCCTTGAGGGCAAATTAATTACAAACTTTGAATATCATATTTATTTATATTTAATCAACACCTTAAAAAAATACTACTACTAGTACTAGCACAGCTGATGCAACATGCCATTTTTTCATACATAAATAAATATAATTTTAAACATTTCAGATTTATATCATGTTTATGATATCCCGCCATTAAACATATCGTATTTCAAGAAAATTACTAATAGGGATAACAGTAACTCTATGCTTACATAATATTGACGGCCTCAGTGGTCCAGCGATGTGGCACACCGCTTTACTTCCGATGGTCACGTGTTCGATTCTTCACCCGGTGCAAACCTTTGTATTCATGAGTATAATTGCTTGTAACGATCTGGGTGTTTTCTATGCATATTATGTATGTATTTACAAAAAAAAAGTACTATGCATTTGTATCAGTTGTCTAGTACCCATAAGACAAGCTCTGCTTACCGTGGGACTGGCTGGCGCTATGTTAATTGTTCAGAGTTATTATTATTTATTTATTTATTATTATTATATTGTATTATGTACGTTAAAATGATGCAACATACTATAAGTAACAATTTTTTTTTAATAAAAATATTTGTCCACAGAAATATCAGTGTCCACACCAAAACCTAAGAAGGTTCTGGACACAATTATGGAGCCAAAATTCATACCACCGGAAGAGAAAATCGGGCTACATTGGAAAAGATCGGCGATCAGCACAATAAGATCCAAACTGCAGGTGACCGTCAATGAGAACAAGGCCAAGAATGGTATACTGTTCATTGGTGATGGTATGTCTGTAGCCACTATTATGGCTGCTAGAACATTCGGCGGGCAACTCGACCAGGGTATAGGAGAAGAGAACATTCTGGAATTCGAGAAGTTCCCTATTCTAGGATTAGCAAGGGTAAGTTTTATTGTACTACTAGCTGCGCCCGCGGTTTCACCTGCGTGAAATTTATAGCCTACATATATGTTATTCTGATACATATTACTGTAAAGTTTCAACAAAATTCGTTCAGTAATTTCTGCGTGAAAGACTAACAAACAACTAACAAACATTTATAAAATTTATTCATACTTTCCAATAGTTGCGGATTTAAAAACACTCTTGTATTTAGAAGTATGATTAAGTATAGTAGTGGGACAGTGTTTTATCATTTGTAATTGATGGTCTCAGTAGTTAAGTCGTTTAGCATACCGCCTAACTTCAAATGGACTTCAGATTGATTCTTGCAAAATACAAACATAATGTTTAATACCACGTGTATAATTATTTGTCAGGGTATTTTCTACCTACATAATAATAACGGTTATCACTTACCATCAGGTGGCCCGTCAACATATTTACCATTAAAAATTCAAAATTCACCGATTCGATCTTTGAATAAAAAAAAATGTTTTGAATCAAAATCAATTTTTTTTTTATAAATGATACAATCTTAATAATAATTTTACTAATAGTACAAACTCAGCTTAGTTTGGAACTAGTTTTTTTTTTGTTTTGTAAAAGTGCGAATATTTTATGAGCTTTTTTACATTTGCGTTTGCGCTTTCGGTCTACGCTCGCATTTGCCGAGAATAACTTTGGTTGTTTTTTCTTTGGGGTGTATTTATGTTATATACAATATTTAAGTACTGGGTTTATATGAAATATGTCTTTAGACTTAGGGACATGTTTTATTTAGTATTTTCAGTAGTGATAATTGATTAAATGTTGAGATTTTTTTTGGCGCTATATAAACTGTCTTAGTTTATTATTATTGTCATGGTTTTTCTAACATAATATTAATTTGTAGTATATAAAAAATATTTCACGCTTGATCGTATTAAGGTACGTTTTTTTGCCGAACTTTAGGGTCATTGATGGCCTTTACAGCTCCACCGAAGCGAGGGCAGATGGAACTCTAAACCCGTGGAAGGGCTTACGATAGGCTAACGAAGGTTATCATGTTCCTAATAGATATACTGCACTGAAAGTATCTCTAGAGACTTCAACTGTCCAGTAACTGTATTTAATTTCTCATTAATAATTATCGTTAATCTCATTAGTAATAATGCGACTGCTAAAACCTTTATGGTCATATATATAAGTGATATATATGTATAGGTATTAATAAAATATCTTTTGGAGAAGATATTGTTAACAATAAGGACTAGTAATTCCAGAGCTAGCAATGTTACTTATCTATTTAGACAATTCGCACTGCGCCATTTAGTCCCAAACTAAGGAGTACTTGTGTTATGGGTAGTAGACAACTGATATAAATATTAAATTACATTTTTGTGCATATGCATACATAATATACATAAAAAACACCGAAACCGATACAAACAATTATATTCATGAAAACAAATGACTCTACCAAAAGAACTGATATGAATACACATATATTATTTTTTTTAATATATACATAGAAAACACTTACACCGATACAATCATCATGAATACACATGTTTCTACGGTGCGAGAAATCGAACCCGCGACCATCGGAAGTCAGACCACCGAAGCTCAGTTTTTTTTGTATATACATAGAAGATACTCGCACTGTTACAAACAATCTTACTCATGAATACAAATGTTTGTACCGTGCGAGCAATCGAATCCATGACCATCGAAAGTAAGATGGTACTAAACCGCTAAACCAATGGGGCTGCACAGGTTGTTATACTATTTACCTATAAAATCTAGGGCCTTTACTATCGAGTAAGGAGAATATAATATTAACTGCATTTAATCCGCATATTGTGTAATACAAAACAGATAACTCTTCATCCTAACAAGAAGGAAATTATTTAATCATACTTTCATAACCGTTGAACTCAATTACTATTGCTGTTAAATGTAACACATGCTTATTTCAATCAAGATGTGATCGTTACATAATATAATTGGTTCGGTTCAAAAACAATCTGTCAATTTTGCAACACATAGATGAGTGGATGATCTCAATTAGATAAGTTTTTTTTTTATTAATGACTAACTGTCTACTGCAGTTTCGTCTGGGTGTTCATAATATTATGTTATTTTTTTATCTCAGGACAATTCGATCTCAATTAGATAGGCTTTATGACTAACTGTCTACTGCGGCTTCGTCTGGGTGTTCATAAGTTTCTAAAAACATCCAGGCTGATATAAACAATCATACTCATGAATACAAATGTTTGTACCATGCTAGGAATCAGTATATAAAATCAGGGACAGAATAAAAAGCTTATATTTATTTACTACTGTTGATCCAATCTTGAGTATTTATATTTCTTGCCAGTAAAAATATATTCTTCTCAATTGGATCTATATACCGAACTAAGAGAGACGGTACCGTTGGGACTTATTTCCAAAAAAAAAATTATAATATAAAAACTTGACGTTCATAAGCGGCTAAAATATCCTATATGAATAAATGATTTTTGAATTTGAATGTATATGACGAAATTTCATATTCCTCCATCCGCGCAATTTTCATAAAACGAAGTACAAGGTTTTTGCTTCACGTACATATAGATGATGAAATTGTGGGCCCACCAAATCAAAGACACTGGACATTATTGTACTCCTGCGAACCCAATTCATCTAGACTTAGATTTACAAATTGGGAGACAAGGATATATATTGTAATTTACTAACATAGTTTATAAGTTGTTTTTTAAGTTTACTAACATAATATGTTATAGGGATATCCATATATCCGTTTAAAAAAAAATACAACCGTAATTAGAGCTTCCTCCTTTTAAAATTCGGAATAAAACCGATCAACAATCCACTAAGAATCCGAGGTAAAATTTCTAAAATTTTTTTATGTAAAAATACTATTTAGCCCTATCATACAAACAAACAAATATTTCTCTACAGTAACCGTTATTAGTCATGACGCGAAATTACAAACCAAATGCGCTTGTGTGGTTTTTTTATTTTTCATTAGTCTCTATTTACTCATATGGTTTTGCCGAGTTGCAGTATTTTATAAAATACCAGTTGTTTGGTTTTTGATGAATAACTATTTACCTGGGTATGTTATTTTGTTAGCATTTATTTTACGCTTTAAACGCATTGTGGAGTAAATATCTGGTAGAAGTTGACAATAAGAGTAGAATCATGCGTCATGCGGGACTTTTTTTTTAATTTTATTTATTTCCTAGCTGTTCCCGTGATGTCGTATGTATAGAATAATAATAATAATATCAGGACAATTCACACAGCCATCTAGACTCAAGTTAAGCTATGTAAAGTCTGTGTTCTGGGTACTAGATAACTGATACAAATAAATAGTTTTTTTTTTCGTAAATACATAGATACATATTATACATAGAAAACACCCAGACCAACACAAACAATCATACTCATGAATACAAATGTTTGTGCTGTGAATTCGACCCTTCGACTGTGTGTGTGTGTTAAATCCATAGATCACCGATACCGTCATAAATTGACAGCTCAAGTTTTTTTTGTTTTGTTGTACTAAAGAGATTTAAACTCACGACTTTTTACTCCCTTAAATCTGATTAATAAATCATTAGACAATGAAGCTCTCACTATCGTCAACAGACATTTTACACCCTTATATATCGGTAGGAAACCATTAGATAAAAGCACTCTCACTGTGTCAACAGACAATCAACACTATCGATCACATTAGCATGCACATCGAAATTGTACACAATCGATAATAATCGAGGAAATCCGTAGACACCTTCATCGAGACCAGGAAACGTGCCCAAGTACATAGCACAATGGAGCGTCCATTGTAATAAATGTTTTTTTTTATACAAACTTTTGGCACAAACAGCAAGTATCAAGTTACGTGAATCCACATTTTTTATGCCTTTTGCTTCGGTGTTTATCCGTCGCGGATCATCGGACACGATGCTATGTTACGGTAAATGTGTCTTATCGGAATGCAATAAGGTTTATTTTAGTTACATCCAGTGTTTAGTTTTTTATTTTTAAAATGTCTTTAATGACTTTCTAGTAACGTAACGTGTAATAGGTATTTTTTTTATTGGAAACATCCTTTGCAATTATAAACTTCGAAGTCTAATGCAGAGTAAGAACAACAAGACAGAACAAATCAGCGTAACTTAATGCATATTAATATTATTAAAAGCGACAGTATGTGTGTATGTCTGTACATCTCACTGTTTATTACCTTTTTCACAATTAATTGGGTCTCTTTTGGCAACACTATATTTTTGTTTATTTATGTTAAATTTAGTAAGTATATAATTCTATATACTCTATCAACTCTCTCGGTTGACTATTCTTCTAACACATAAGCTCTGTTGTTTAAGTACAAAATAAAATAGTAAACTTCTAATAAATAAAACCTTTTTCAAACAAGGCTTATTGGGCCACTACCTATTCAGGGAGATACAGCCTCCACAAACAGCGCAAAGAATATAATCGCTCAATCTTAACAAAATTTTACTTCAATATAGATTATATCATCAAGACCAGTCCCCTTTAATCGATCTCCCGTCCGATTCAAACGGGGATCGAAGTTACGATGGCATGAGCCGAGATTCGAACCACTAGCGATGCTCTCAGACTAAAGTCGTATCCGTCAGGCAGGAGTTTGCCTTCAGCCTCTCCATAAGTCCTATCAAGGAGTAGTGCAGTTAAAATGCCATCTGCATACACCACCTATCGTCCGATGAAGCTGCAAAACCGCTCAACAGCATTAGAGTAGTCCGAAATAAAAAACTAAGACCAGAAAAAGAGTTAAGGGAAGTTAATAAGGGAAGATTTTTTTGTAAACAGCAGATAAAGTTACGGATACACATATTGCTAATAAATGGAAAATACATATACATATTTATGTGGGTGGTAATATTAAATAAAAGTGGGCGTCCTACAATAATTCACGAAACACATTTAAATATAGTTGAATTATCTTTGTGGGTCAAGTAGACCATCAAATCGTAAATAAACCGCACAGTCAAGGATAACTTGACGTGCAATTTTAACCTTTATACTTTACTATAAAATAACATTTTCGATAATTCCAAAAATATATTTTTATTGTATTTATAACGTTATAAAGAAGAGCCTAATGCTATATGACAGTGGAAAGGGGATTGTTTGTAATATGAACTAATAACCTCATTTTTTTATAAGATGACAATGGAATGGTGCACCGCCTGCGCTAACGGTATACGCTGGCGGGGCACCAGTGGAGGATGATAAGATGAGTATTAGGTCAGTTAGTCATCGTGATAAATTCACCAAGAATTTTTCAAGATGGTTTCCAGGGGGAACCACGTGGAGGTTAACCTGACAACCATGTCAGGTTATCCTCCACCTAGGTACTTTGGTAGCGATGGGGTCAACAGTCCACACTACTAACAATCCCCTTTCCCCACTAATAATAATCTCATTGCTATGTACCATGTCAGATTGACCTCCACCCAGTTCACCTTGGAAATCGTGATTGCCTGCTTGTTGAATTTACCACGATGGGCTAACTGACCTGACCTCTATATACCTTAAAGCTAGAATATTTAAAAGCCTTGTCTCTTCTGTAACATGTATGTAGTGTAAACTTATAAATACCTACTCTTCAATCACTCTATCTATTGCTGAAAACTGCATTAAAATCTGTTGTGTAGATTATAGTTACAGTGACTTTTTTATTAAAAAAGAACATCATTTACATACAACGTATTTATACGTTTTTGTGATATCATAGTCTATTTCAAACCTAACACTACCATATAATTGGACATTGTACTTGGAAATAAAAAAAAATAAGCCAAAACCACAAACATAATTTACCAGAGATAAATTAACGAGTTCGCTGATACAGGTAATGAAATCCATGAAGCAGAAAATAACAAGTAATAACTTGTTTCTGTAAACGTATATTAGTGCTGAAACGTCTTTTATCTATTGTCCTTAATTGTCTGTATACTGTACGATACCACTGCAACTAATAATCGCCGAGTGTTTAGTGATGGAATAATTTGTATCTTTACAAAATATAAAACAAAGTCGCACCCACTGTCTGTTAGATTATAACTTTTAAATTATGCAACATCTTTTAATGCAGAATTCAGCTATAAATTACAATACAGATTAAAGAAGAAGGATAATAATATAATAAGGTTACTATATATGTATAATGTATATATAATACATAAGTATTATACTTTAGAACAAGCCGAGAAATTTGTAATCGATTAGTGCAAAGCCGGATCTGGTCGATAGTAATGTATAGCATAGTATAAATATAGTATATTATATATCTGAAGTATATTATATACTCTTTATAGTTTTCATTTATTTATTTATTAAAAATCATATACAGGTTTACAATTATAAAACTTATAACTATTTTAAATTAACTACGAATTATATTATTGTAAACCTAACATGCATGATCTGAGATAATATTTAAGTATTACAATGTGTGGATCTTATATATGAAAGTTCTTTTACTAATGTACAAACTAATATATATTATTTACATAGAATTATGATTGGTGCACATATATGTATGCGTTGATACGCATCTTGCAATGAAACATTATTAGGTTGTTATAAATTCATTATTATGACAGCTCACGGTACATGTGAATAAAATAAACCACAATTTTATCCCTGAAAAACCCTTAATATATCACTAATACTATCCGGATAAGTACCAATCCAACCTAAGGAAACTATAACACTAACCGCAACGGAACTGTCGACTAGTAATTGAATAACAAATGAATAGCTTTACGTGCGATTTAACGCAGTTGACCGTCCAGTATGTCACGTTCAAGGAAACTGTAAAGGTCACCAACGACCACGTCAGGTGTCCGTGCACTGGGAAATATGCAGACTTATTGTCTCCATATCTTAAGGTACATAGAATTGCATTGTTGCTACTACTAATTATCTTATCTCTATTTGTCGTCAACCTTATTAGCTTGCTCAAGTGTTTAGTTTCAACGGTAGAATGTGCACAGAAATTGCATCCTCTATGTCTTAAATTTAAACGGTTATCAAGTTACCGAATCAGGTTATAGACCTACAAACACCTACATAGAAATGGTAACATGAATACCATATACGATCCAACGTTAAACAGATGTCCCAATTTTAACGGAGCTTGTGTTATCGGTATTAAACAACTGATAGAAATACTTAATACATTTTTTAATACATACAAAATACCCAGACCATAGCAAATAATGGTATATATTAATACAAAGATTTGTAGGTACTGTGCGAGGAATCGAACCCGCAACCATCTGAAGTAAAGCGATGTGTTAAACCGCTAGATCACCAAGGCCATATTTCAATTCAATAAGACAGACATTTCGAGTATTACGTTTATTACAATACAACAGTTAATGAAACGTCTTGCTCTAAGTAAGATTATATGGGATTCAATATACCTACTAAATCTGTGATAACAAATAAATTAGACACGATGAAGATTCGGTACACAACCTCAGGATGACGCAGGCAGATCAACAACAATGCGAGGAAGGAAATAGGAAATTATATGCTTAAGGCTCGATGTATTCATCACCGATGTAGAATGTACTTGACAGAGGATAATACTTGTGAAAGCATAGAACTCTATTGAGAATCTTTGCCGTGGTACATTTTGTACAAAGTAGAATATTTACCGAGGTATATTTTGTACAGAGTAGGATCCTACTCTGTAAGTAGGATCTTTACCGTGGTACATTTTGTACAGACTAATTTGCGTGGGATACTGTCTCGCTTTCTCCTGCCTTCTACCGAAAAGCAACAAGTTAAGTTTTGGTTTAAGGGTGATACTTCTGCTAACAAGCCACTTACTTTGTTTGTTTTGGTTGAAGAGTCATACATGTAGGCCTCGGTGGTCTAGCGATTTAGCACACTGATCGATCCCCTGTCCAAAATCGGGGATCGAAATTACGGTCGCTTTCGCCGAAGTTCAAACCCCTATCAGACTAAAGTCGTATCCGACTAACCGAAGTTGACCTCCAGCCACTACATAACTCCGCGAATTTGGAGTGCCATCTACACTTGCTGCTTATCCTTCGGTGAAGCTGTAAAGGCAAGAATTACATAAAAACATGAGTATGGTTGTTTGTATTGATCTATGTGATTTCTCTGTATACTATGTTTGTATTTACAAAATAAAAGTATTGAAGTATTTATATTAGTAAAAAAGTACCCATAATACAAGCTCTCCTTATATCCTAGGACTATATGGCGCTTTGTAAATTGTCCAGTTATCATTATTATTAAAAGATAGAGCACAGAAATGGTACACTGTGAACTGTAAGCTGTTCATATATATAGGCGTGTTTCAATTTTGAGTTACATATAAAAACACTCATTTTCTGTTTCCTGCTGTATGGGATTGATAAGTACATATTAACAAACAATTTGCCAGCTATTTAATCGTTTTGCTTGGCTTGCTATTGTACAAGAAATGTACATTCTAAAAGTCATCATAAGGCAGATTTATCAGTCATACAGTACACCAACATTCATCGTGGACAAATCTTAATCGTGACCGGACTGATTTTTTCTAGTTAACTTTTAGTATTTAATTTTTACTTATTTTAAGGTTTGTATTTATTTAGATTTATCTTTATTTTTAGAATAATAAATAGAGGCGAATGAAATTGTTAGTAATGTGGACTAACCCCTTGATCGTTGGACCTCCACTTGGTACCGCCTGGAAACCATCGTGAATAGTTCATCTTATTAGCCTCCACTGGTGCCCCGCCAGCGTAAACTGTAGACGCATAATCATTATATCATTATAATCAATTAAAAAAACATAGGTCCTCGTAGATACTGCTTGCTACTGTGAAGACTATTCAGTATTATCTCTTATTTTCTGACCGAATTTGAATGTATATTTGAATCGTCTTTCAATATTCCAAACTAACTAATAAGATGTCGTTCAAAATAAAATCATACATAAAAATTATCCATCAATAAAGTTTATCTAAAAAGTATATAGGGTGAAGTACCGGTATCGGTACCAATAGTATCTTACTTTTTGTCATGCCAGTGAACTTCTTGTACGGAAAGCCGTTACAATTAGTTTTTATTGGCGAAAAACCGTTGATCAGTCAAAAAAGAACGAGGCCAATGAAGATTCAGAGTTCATTGATGCAAGTTTGTTATTATAACGTCCATTTATTGTTGCTTATTGAGCCCTTTATCTTCTTATAGGTATCCATTATTAACCTTCACGAGATTGTGGTTAAATTTTTATGCTCAGCTGTTTTTTTTATGTAATTACGAAACAGAGACAAGCCGATTGATAATTTGGTGGTAACTGGTAATTTATACCTATATACAAGAACAGCACTAGGAATAAAATAGGTCGTAGATGAATGGGCTGTAAACACTAAATTGTCTATAATGTTTACAGCCTATCCCGCTACGACCAGAGTTAAGAGGAGGAAAGTATCAATGAAAGTGTTGTCAAAACAGGATCTCTTAATGCCCAATTTACAGTCAGCCCGAGTGGGCAGGGAAATGAGCAGCGCGAGAGTGGAAACACTTCCCATGCCATTGTAATGTTTTTCGACTCGCGTTGCCCGGCGCTTCCTCGATTGTCGGTTTTTCGTGCGCGAGTCAAAGGACTGGCAGCGCGAGTGGCAGCATGTTTTTACATTCAGCCCTCTCGCTCAGTTGTCACCCGGCAATATTTCCGGCAGCGCGAGTGGCAGGGAAAGCGGCTGAATGTAAACGTAAAATTATGTAACGTAAGGGAAGTGTCGTGGGTCGCTGACTAGCAAAATTTAATAACATAGTTTATGTACCTATCGCAAAATAAAATTATTGAATGAGTAATACATCGATTGATTGATTGATAGATAGATCAGTAGATTGATTGACTGATTGATTGATTCAATAATATAATATGCGTCCTTTTACAGACGTACTGCATCGACGCGCAAGTTCCTGACTCCGCCTGCACTGCCACTTCATACCTGACTGGTGTGAAGACCAAGTATGGAGTTATTGGCCTCGACGGGAACGTCACAAGAGGATCGTGCTACTCGCAGCTGTATGAAAAGAACTGGGCATCCTCGATTGGGCACTGGGCTTTGGAACACGGATTGGATGTTGGTGAGTATTTTCAACAGTTTTTTTATATATTTCTAATACTACATATCGCTATTTTTCAATGCGCTGTTTAAAGGATCATTGTTCAGGTACATATATAAAAAATAAATAAAAATATTTATTTTTTATATAGGTATTTTTAATTGTTCTAAAAGTATAGTGAGTACAATAGTCACTTCGGGAACTTGCGGCAAAGAGTTTTATATTTGGGAAGGATTTTCCTTTTAACTGTACACATAATAACTATGGTACAGATTAATTTAAATTTAATACAATTTTGTTTAATTTTTTATAATGTCAATGTGTTAACATGTTAGTTATAACATGGCAGTTATTTTATGTATTATACATTTTAAATTAATATTTTAAATTTAATTAAAGACTGCACCTACCGTTCTTACTAAATAATACTACTACTTTTATACTAATTTCTGTTTATGTATATGTATTAGGATACCATACCGAGAAACATACAGAAATTTTCATCTGTGATTTATAAATCAGTCAGGTTATATCCTGACTGATTTATAAATAATATAAGTGTGCTAAATTTCTTCACCACCAAGGCAGTCGAATATAACAAATATTTGGTTGTTTATTACTAAAGTTTATTTAATTCTGGAGCAACTCAACTATGTAATTTAGTTCATAACTTTTAGTATACCATTCTTCTACCCTTATTTCTATTAATACTGCCAATGTTAGTATTATAGTTGGACATAGAAGCGTATTGTCGGTATTAGAAAGAAACGAAGGTCCTGAATTAATATTTATCGGCATTTAACAATAATTGCCTTGTAACCTTGCAGCGAAACGTGGTCGCCATTTCAGACACCCATAAAGTAAAGCAAATTATCATTGATAATGAATTGTAGTCAAGAACTGTGATTTATCCGTAAAATTTTCCTCTTACACTATCTTAGAAGAAACTACTATAAATTATGATATCGCTAGTTCGCACTGAAAATCTAGAATTCTAGAACATCTCTTCGTATAAGAACTAAATACTACACGTAGACAATCTAGAACACATAATGTTACATAACTAAGTTCGGCTTAATACAATGCGTTTAAAAGCTAGACCAAAAAGTTCTTATATGAATACGGAACATTGTTAAGTAAGTGGAGGTTGAGATATGATAGTGAAATTACAAGGAACAATGAATATATTACTACTCCGGTATGACTGTGAAGGGTGGATATTGGAAGTGGCAGGCTATATGTGTACCACTCATCATTTATTTATGCTACATAATAATATATACATATATAGGCGATGCTCCATTCACTGCGTAAAAAGCGTCGTTGTCTATTGATATACTACCCTAATCTATACATATAATAACAATCAAAATAACGTCAGGACTTGAGAAACCTTACTTTTCGACGTTTTATTTAAATAAGTACATTATTAGTTTTTTCCTGGACAAATCACACACAGCGCCATCTAGTCACAAGCTAATCAGAGCTCGTTATGATTCCTAAACAACGGAAATAAATACTTTAAGACATTTTTTATAAATATAGATATACATAGTTATAATTATAAACCCAGAGCTATACAAACAACCATAATCATGAATACAAATGTTTGTACTGTGCAAGAAATCAAACCGGCGAAAGCCAGAAGTAAGGTGGCGTGCTAAACCACTAAACCACTAAGTAAACACAGATGAGAAACTGAAGCCATATCGCAAGCATTGTTATGAATGAACATAATAAAATCGAAAAACATTACAATATGTAATAACCTGACGTCAATTGAACAAAAGTTCTTCACGGATGTCTTCATTAAAATGAAATTTTAGTGTAATGGCTTATTGTTTACAATATATATAGACTCTTTGTATCTTTACATGTACAACTATACATACAAATTACAATGAATGTTATTGTATCTCAAAAGTTTTATCACTCATAAGAAAATAAAACTACACTAAAAAAAACTCAAGTGTCTGTTAGTAATTTCAAATTTATTGTTTTTACTAAATGCCTACGAAACCATATACTTAAAATACAAAAAAAAAATAACAACTTTTGTCTGTCTGTCCCTACTTGCTAATCTCTGAAACGACAGAACCCATGCTGACGGAACTTGTCATTGATACTAGTAACAAATTTATTAAAAATTATTACAACAGTAATTTTAAATATGCTTTCCAGTTCAGGATCACAGTGCCTTCCAAGTACTCCTGGTAAGGATTAAAAACTTAGAACATCCCGCCATTAAAAAATATTGAATTCCCATCATGAACTAGGAAATATGTTGATAGACTTCAAATGCATTCTTCTTCTAAAATCTTCATTTAAAAAACTAGCTTTCAAGCAAAATCCATATGGATATCGGCCTATATATTTGTATCATAATCAGATAGATATTATATAGATATTTTGAACTTAAAAATAAGAAGTAAACTACACGTATATTTATTTATATACGCGACGGATTCCACTTTCTATTACCCGTCAGTTTGTTTGTCGTATTAGTTACATAAAAAATATATATTCAAAAAACAGTGTATCATCATCATCATCATCGCAGCACGGAACACGTCCATTGCTGGACATAGGCCTCCCTCAAAGATGTCCACGACGATCGGTCCTGCGCTGCTCGCATCCAATGCCTTCTAGCGATCTTGACCAGATCGTCGGTCCACCGAGGCCTTCCCACGCTGCGTCTTCCGATCCGTGGTCACCACCCGAGGACTTTATTGCCCCAACGGCCATTTGTCCTCCGAGCTATGTGCCCTGCCCAGTGTATGATATAGTAAAATAAAATATTCTTTCTTTTTTCGACCTTTCGGTCTCTTATACAACTCATATTTGTTAAAACTCATCAATATCATCTAGTTAAACTAGCTTCAGATAAAAAGAACTGGGCAGAAACTCGAGTGGCGTAGGTACATTTTTTTAATCAGTTTAATATCTTTACAGGTCTGGTGACAACGACGCGTGTAACTCATGCCTCTCCAGCGGGAATGTACGCGCACAGTTCAGAACGCAACTGGGAGTCGGATGCAGATGTTCCAGATGAATGCATCGCATTGGGCTGCGAGGACATTGCCACACAGCTGATCACGAATGAACCTGGTAACCGATTCAAGGTTAGTTCTGGTTCATATAGTCCAATTTATCATATTGTATTAATCTTCATGACGCATTGGTGAAGGCGCAGGTTAGATTTTTGATGGAAAAATATAGGAGTAGATTTACAGAAATATTTTTATTACTTCGATCGATTCGCCTTCAAGTTTATTTGCCTTTAAAATTATTCATCTTAAGACACGGTTAATTGTATTTACTAGCGAGTCAGTGAGTCAGTATGACTATAGACAAGAAATATTTAAAACAAACAATATTAATCTATTTTCAATTAGACCACAGACTTTGACAATAAGCAAAAAAGTATATATGCGCTTGTGAGTGACAAATACAGTAATGCGTAATGTTTTTTTTTTATTTAGTGTATTTTAATGCATAATTTAAATATATATATTAGCATTCTTTACTCCTATTCTTTATAAACATAAGTGTGCGAAAATTCATACTCCTCTATAAGGAATATTACTACTCCTCTATATAAACTATAAAGTTTTTATTTCACGTATTAATATATAGATATTATGTATAGACATAAAAGTTTAAAAATAACCATGGTTATGATGTCGGCTAAATTGCAACTCACGATCTTTATGCACTGTTATGCGCAGGAACGAGGATCATATCTTATGAAAAGTGTATAATGTAAAAACTTGACGTTCATAAGCGGCTAAAATATCTTACAAGAATAAATGATTTTTAAATTTGAATTTGTGTATAATATAAATGTAGATGGATATCAAGGGAGGGGACGGCCTAATAAAAGATGGATGGATTGTGAGAAAGATGATATGAATAAAAGAAGAGTATGCTCAGATATAACAACCGATAGAGAGCACTGGAAGAGAATGACATACTGCGCTGAACCCAAATAATGGGGTAAAGGCAAGGCAATGATGATCTTTATGCACTAAAAGGTGGTAAACCACTAGACCATGGCGGTCAAATTCCTACATATACTAATATTGATTATTATATTAAATCGTGATAAATTGTAATTACAGGTTATTTTAGGTGGTGGAAGGCGAGAATTTCTTCCAAATATAACAGATCCATTGATAAAAGGTAAAGGTAGAAGAATTGATGGAGTGGACCTGATCGAGAAATGGTCTGAAGATAAAATAAAGAAGAACGTGTCCCATGTCTACGTCAGTGATAAGAGTGAACTTATGAGGGTAAGATCATGAAACATTATATGATAAAGTGTATAATAAAATGTAATGAAATATAATAATTGCTACAAGTTATTATTATTCCACAAAAGATTTTTGAGACTAATGTAGATGTAGACTCCAACAATAAAGAAGTTGATAGTCCAGCTTATGAAAAATCGTAACCTCAGCCTATAGACGTAAACAATACACAACAAATTTATAACGCATAAATTCGACGCACTCTATTCCTGAGGACTAAAAACTACCCTACTCTATATTTCAATAGCGCAATTAACCCTTTAAATTGGATCACAGATTACAAAGCAAGCAACTTTATGGCAGAAATAAGTTAAACAAAGGTATCCAAGCGGACAACTTTGCATAAATCTTTGATGGTAAATTAAACGCTTAATTTCGTTTCATTTGCAGGTCTATAACTCGGACGAACTTCCAGAATATCTCCTTGGTTTATTCCATGACGACCACATGGCATACCACCTCCAGTCAACCACCAACCAACCAACTCTTGAAGAAATGGTAGAGATAGCCATCAAAATACTAAGCAAAAGTTCTAAGGGATATTTCCTTTTTGTTGAAGGTAAAAATTATTTCTTATTCCAGCAATTCTTCTGGCTATATTATATATTATATTAATATATATATTGCAACCTCACCAGATAGGTACACTCATTGAGATATGTTCACAAATGTGTGTTACAAACATCTCTTTATTCTTACAGGTGGCAGAATAGACCATGCGCATCACGACAGTCTAGCACACTTAGCTTTAGATGAGACAGTTGAATATTCTAAAGCCGTAAAGAAAGCCAAAGAAATGACCAATGAAGCAGAGACATTAGTAGTTGTTAGTTCAGATCATGCTCATACTATGACGGTAGCTGGTTACCCTTCAAGAGGCAACGATATATTGGGTTTAGTAGATACAGCGAAAGGAGATGATGGGATACCGTACACTACTATCAGTTATGCTAACGGTAAAGCACCATCAATTGGAGCTAATGGGAAAAGAGTTGATGTTAGTTTACATCAAATGTTCACAGCCCGTAAGTATAATAACACATTATTTACATTAAATGAGGAAGGACCTATAGAGAGCTATTTTTCGTTCCAATCTAATGTTGCAGCTGGCCTTTACAGCTTTATACATAGATAGGAGGAGAGTACAGTTGGTACTCTAAACCCGCGGAAGGACTTATGGAACGACTGAAGGCCAACTCCCGCCTGATGGATACGACTTTACTCTGTGGGCACAGCTAGGTGTTCGAACCTCGGCTAGTCGTACGGCCGTCGTAATTTCGATCCTGGTTTCAATTGGACGAGGGATCGATCGAAGGGGACCTATCTGGAACGTGAAATTACTTAGTTATTATGTGCTCTGTCGTCTCTACAAGTGATTGTTTCCACATTACTTGATGTGTCTTTGTCAATTTTCAGGTGACACCGATTACTCATACCCCAGCCTAGTTCCTCTCGACAGCGAAACGCATGGTGGGGAGGACGTCGCTGTCTTCGCTTCAGGACCCTGGCAGCACCTGTTCACATCCAGCTATGAACAAAACGTAATTCCTCATATGATAGCATATGCAATGTGTATCGCAGATGATAAACATGCAAATTGCAATCCGACCATTGATGAGGGTTTTAGAACATCAAGTGGAAGCAATGTTCATCCAAGTATACTATGCACTAGTTTAATATTAATTATAGTATTGTTAGGAATAAATTATAAGTAAATAGTAGCTTTTGAGATTTCGTCCACGTGATATTTGGCATAACGATAAGTTAACTTATTAGTTTTATTCTAAACTGGTTGGAATGAAAGAAACACATAGGTAATCTATTAGGACGATATATCAGTGAAAATGATTTTCAAATCGGTTAAGCAGTTTCTATTATACTGCATAATATATGTATATAATATATAATATAGTCAAATGCATAAATAAACAGGCAGAAATTATTAAAATTACGTTTTTGTTATCTTTAAAATAATTGTACAAATCGATTTTATTTTTAAATATAATTAATGTACAGACACGTTTTTGTGTTATACCTTGGTCGTTTACGATTTTATTATATGTATGTATTTTACGACTAAATTATAATTAGGATTCACTTTTATATAGACACGGTTGTGACTTGTGATTATTTGGTTTACAGTCAGTATTGTGTACTACAGTTTTGTAGTACTAGTAGCATAGTAGAGAGGGCTGATAGATACGATATTTGAGAACAGTGTGTACACTGTTAGCATAGTGCTGTGACATGAATACTATCTTTATAGTTTTAATATTATTTTCGTTTTTAGTTTTTGTAACTATTTCTTCTAGTTTTTATAGTAATGTTAATATTTTTTTAATTATATTACTCAGAACACATGTTCCTAGTAATGTATGTAAGACGATATTGGCAACATTATTAAGACCAATAACAATTTTAATACGAAAGAATTTGTGATTATTTTTGTCATATTTTTAAGAACCGTTTGCGAATTTTTTTTATATATTACGAATACGATGGTAGCAAAAAAGCTATCTATTATAGGACAAATATTTTCAGGATTAAACCTATCCGAATTATTACAAATACATATTAGAATAATTTCATCACTATTTTCATTACAAATATTATATATATATATCTCTTATAAATCAATGTATACGTACAATTAATGATAATTCATAACTTAGTTTAGATAAAAATTATTACTAACTAGTATTAGTGAGATGTACGAATTTATTTTCAGCAAATTTCCCCAGATTTTTTATCTTATTACCATAAATATATATATGTATAGAAACTTACATTACTTTCGCGTGTTTTTTTTTTTGTAATAGAGTGGTACTTATTTCTTTTGAAAACTCTCACAAAAAGGATTATTAAAAACATTTTTGGTAATTTATTTCACAAATTTCATACAGAGAACATATGTGTTCTCGTGTCTACGATTGTCTTTTGTTTTTTTCTATTCACATTTATTGTTACACCGTTGATTAAATTAAATTTAAATTGTTATAAAACCGTATATACGATTATATTGTTATAAAACTGTATATACGATATATACGATTTAATTTACAATTTGATGTTTTTCAATTCATTTTAACGATTACATCCACGCGCTATCTTTGAGTTCCACACAAATACAATACTATTTTAGTTTCATATGGTTTAAAAACGCCACGTTGAGCTAAAAGAATGAGTATAGAAAACAAAATTTATAATTTTTCAGCCTTAATATACTGACTTTATCAGTTTTTTTTTATTTTTCACACGAGGAATTGCTTTCTAAAGTTTGCTAGCAATTCCTGACCAATTTCATCACGCAATGCGTTATCACGTTAATGCAATGTTAATAAAACATTCCAATATTGTTAAGAACTTCTTTATACTGTTTTTTCATACCTATATAAATGAGATATAATAGTCTATATTAAGATATAAGTGCGTTATAATGGTTATAAAACACGAGGTAGAGTTTCAGCCCGAGCCGTAGGCATTATACGTTGTGTTAAATACGCACGTACTCGTATATCGTACGCGATTTTTCAACACACTTGTGAGGATACAGAATAAAAAATCATGATATTATATTTTGTTTTTTTTTATCTGTGATGCACACTGTTGCTTTCGCGCGTTTTATTTTTTTAAATGGGCGCACTGATTACTGGCTGGCGCCGCATGGCGCGGCGGTCAGTTCAAAATTTGTCAAAAAAATAGTGAATAGTGGTTATGGAATATAACTTCAGTATTTGCATTTATAATGCACACGTGTTTTACGAGCTGCTTTATATATCGGAAACCGGTGAAATTATACCCAATTTACGGCCAAGTGTGTTGAAAAATGAAATAATAAATTTATGGAGGAACGCACTCTTATTATGGTTCCATTTATGCTTTTATTACATATTGCTTTGTTGTGCGTATAGATCTGTAATTAATAATTTATTACGAACGATGTTGTATTAAAAAGGTATTATAATAAAATTTAATAATTAAGTATGTTATAATTTATTTTACAATATTGTACTACTTTTGTTAGTTACTTCTCTCGCAATCAATGTTCGCATGCGAATTTGTATACGACGGAGTGTTGATTATAAAATGTTATAAAAATTGTTTTTCGGGTAGGTATCTTCCTTATTCCTTGTTCATAGTCTTCTATGAATAATTTAAAAATACAAATTTGCACCTAAATGTGTGAATTGCATTTAATTTTAATAATTATGTATTTTATTTCTGAACTTCGATCTATCCAACTTCCGTTTCGCTTTTTGATATTGTTTAGATTAAATAATAATCATAATATTGTAATGTACATATTAGGTTAGTAGATGGTATATATAATTTAGTGAAATTGTTGCTTTTATATATTATAAGTACGCTTAAATAGGACTTTTATAGAAAACAAAAATCTTTAATTTTTTGTGTAAACATTTATTAAATATAGATTTTATAAATAACTGACTTATTTTATTTACTAAACTTTAAGAACAAGAACAGACATCGTTTTGCGAACAAAGGCGGAAAAGGCCGAGTACACCCGAAGCGCACCTGCAAAAATTGGCGGGCTGCACTGAACCGGGCTAGCGTACTTAAAACTAAAATATCTTGTTCTTTTTGGAAACTGTAATAACAATTTATATTCAGATATTTGCAAGCAATTGTTTGCATAGTTTCGTTTTAGATATTTTATCCCTACGTGAAACTCATTAAATAAAATAATATTTAATTGTAACAGTGTAACCTCTTTTTTTAGAAACATTACAAGATCTTAACCTAATATAAATAGGGGCAAAGAGGATTGTTAGTAATGTGAACTGATAACCCCATTTCTAGCAATGTATCATGTCAGGTTGACCTCCACGCGGTTCCCCCTGGAAAAAATCATATTAAATTCCTGGTGAATTTGTCACGATGGGCTAACTGACCTGACCACAAAGTCATCTTAACATCCTCCATTGGTGCCTCGCCAGCGTATACTGTTAGCGCAGATGATGGCACCATTCCATTATCAACCATAACAAGAAACCTTATATAAATCAGTCACATTAAAGACATTCACAAAATTTATTAAATAGCGCCATCTATATTTTATGTTTTGAAACATAAATGCACAACTCCACTTGGATGTAATTTAAATACAACTCAACAAGCACAGAGAAGTTTCTTAGCGATCTTGAAGTTACGCTAAAGTCGTCAACAGATGGCGCTATTAAGATTAATCTCTTTTTAACATTTTTTTTGCATTTACTATAATATATAGTAATCATATACCTATGTACTCTTTAGAGTATTATGTTCCTTGCCTATATACCTTCTACTCATACTGGTACCATGCTGTACTTATATAGTTATAAAAAAAAACAGTCCAATTACTACCTCCTTTTCATAGTTGGGTGAAAACGAAATTATACATAATTTCGTTGACTCCAATAAAATATGATTAAAAATGTATTATCGCAAACAATTTCTTTAGTAAATTAGTAATGAGAGTACATGTTTGATACCGTTATTTATTGTAAGTACAGAAAATAATAAATTACGAGAAGATACCTGTGAATTTTTTTAATAAAACGAAAAAAAAATCTATATTACAGAAACTTTTCTATCTATATAAGATATTGGACGTAAAATTCGTGCTTTTTATTATTTAGAGATAAATTCTGTAAGTAGGTAATATGGTAGTGAGTGGAGAAGGAGATTATAAGTAATGTAGACCAATAACCTTATTGCTAGCAATGTACCATGTCACACCCCCACGCATTTCTCCCTGGAAACCACTGAGAAAAATTCCTGATTAATTTGCCACGACGGGCCAGTTGGCCCGTCGTGGCAAATTAATCAGGAGGATGATAGAATGAGCATGAAGTCAGGTCAGTTGACCTGACTTCATGCTCATTCTATCATCCTCCACTGGTCCTTTGCCAGCGTAAACCATTATAGCAGGCGGCTGCATTCTCCCTGGTAATAATCGTGATAATTTCCTGATTAATTTGCCACAATGGGCCAACTGACTAACCTCATGCTCATTCCATCATCCTCCAATGTGCCCCGCCACAGTATATCGGGGAGGTGACGGAACTATACCATTATCATCCATTTAAAAAATACTGATATCTTTAAAGTTGTATAATAAGATTTATCTATACATATAAATAAAATTGGAGTGTCTATTTGTAATATTGAAATAACCGTTAGTTACTACATGCATATGGATATAAATACACCAAAATAAGATTTTTTACAATTTTTGTCTGTCCGTCTATCTGTTTGTTACGGCTAATCTCTGAAATGGCAGGATCTATCTTGACGGGACTTTTTTTGGCAGGTAGCTGATGTAATAAGGAGTAACTTAGGCTACTTTTATTTTTAAAAAATAAAGTTAAATTCCACGTGGACCAAGTCGCGGAAACGGCTACTGAATAAGAATACAATAGCTTAATAAATGTTTTTATTATTATTATATCTGTTAACGTCACTGAGTGGTGAGTTCATTCATACGTCAGATTAGCCCACCTAGTTAGAGTAGTCCATTCGATTCCTTTCACTCAAATGCAACATGTTTATATGCGTTAAGCAACGTTCTAACTTATTGCAATAGCTTACTTATATTACTTTGTAATTTTATATCTCTCGGCAATGCGCACGTGGCATTCCTAGTGTCTCAGACATCCATAGGTTACGGTAACCTTTTACCATCAGATGGGCCGTATGATTGCCACCATTGTAGTATAAAAAAAAGATGAATAACAAATTCTGTTATGTAGGGCATTTTCTCTTCTGATCGGCAAAATCTACAGCAAATAACACCTAACTCGATAATATGTATAAAAAATTATCTGCTTTTATCTTCAACGCAATACTTTTGAC